GCAAAGGTCGACGCGGCCGCTCATATTTGTCCGTGAAGGGCATGGTGGAGGCGTGTGCCACTTACGTTTTCCCGATTGTCCTTTATAGATTGTCCGTACTTCCTCTCAGTAAAGACCTTAGGAAGCCGCTCGAGCGCTCGCTATCCTCCATTTTGTGGAGGGGACGCAAGCATCAGGTCGACAGAGGAGTCTGTGCACAACGTCCGTGTCATAGGGTGTGCTGGGAATGCCACACTTGGTGATCCACAAACTCGCCTCGAGGTTGGCTTTCCTACGCTGCGCATTGACAGAAGATTCGATTATGGAGGGGATTGTTAGGGACGCGTTCCCTTTCCTTACTATCAGTCCCCCCAACTCGCTGGTTGAGCGCCATCGTAAACCCTGGTTTCAATCGGATTTCTTTTGCGAGTGTCGGTCTGCCTTGTTTGCTGTTCCTTGGTCCAGTGACCTTTCACGGCTTCGGAAAGTCTTCTATCGTTATTTAGTGCAGGGGGTCGCGAAGGATCCTCTACGTGAGCGGCTCGACTTGTCGGAGGAGGAGTTTCGCTATTTCTGGTCTTGTGCGCCAGTTTTCGCTTACCTGGCGATTGGCTCGGAATCGGCTGCCTCTCAATGACATGGTCTTCATATGGGGCTTAGCGGATTTACCAGACTGTGAACGGTGTGACATTGGTTTGGATCTCACATACGCGTGTGAAAATGTGTCGCCCCCGTGTTCTGGGGTGAAACGAATGATGTTTCTGACGCTGCTGGTGATTTGGACGACGTGACAGGAGGAAGTCTTGCGAGGTACCCGTCTTTCTCATCAGGATCTAATCCGATTCTTTGAGCATCAGCTCAAGATGAAGATTAGAATTGATAGAAAACGCTTGCATTCGACAGTCTTTAGCGTAAGGTGGGTGACTGAGGCGAGCTTGGTTCGTTTGAACGGGGCTAGCTTTGATTTTCTCTTTTAGGTCAACCTACGTCACATCGGGGTGGTTTCCTGTGGAACCCTCCCCTTGGTTAGGTTAGACAAGCCTTTGTGTACCTAATAACTAAATTAGTGTTGTTCCTGGCCTGTTCCTGGCTGCATCTTTGGTTATGATCCAAATTGAGATTCCCAACCTCCCCAGTTTGTTTTGGCCCCTTTTTATCTCGACTGGGTTAGATTTTTTGCTTTCCCATGTTTGTATATATTTTCTCCTTTTCCCACTCCCTTAGTGAGAGAGCTCTTTGATTTTGTCCAATGGGCAGAAGTCAGATGGGCCCTACTGTCATCAGTTATGTTTAGTTTACTTTGTGTTCATGTTTAGTTCACTTTGTGTTCATGTTTAGTTTGTTATTGAGTTCATCTCCCTTCCCTCTCATTTTTCATCTTTAGAATTGTATATATAGTTTATTATCATTAAATTTTTATGGCATGTGGCTCGTTTCGTAGATTCCCCTTGAGAGGATTGTGGTATTATGGTGTTTGGAGGATTGATTGGTGACGGACAAGTTTTTATAGTGAATGGGCAAATTGTAATGAGTGAATGGGTCGTGAATCGGATTAGCTAGGTATAAAATAGTTAGTGAAGACCAGCCACAACCCCTCGCCTTTTTCGGCCTTGTGCCATAATTGTATTTTTAAGCAATAAATATCCATTAATAAAACTATTAATATCATTAAAAGTACTTTTAAAATAGCACAACAATATGCATCAAAAATTTAGTTTCCACCTCCTCTAGGTTTTTCGTAATGATCTTTGAAATTGTCTAAAGACTTTGAGGACACACTGTATCTTCACTGTTATTAGCAAGGAGCTCTTGCCCCTTATCAAGCATTTTCGACTCGTTTTGTGTAACAAATAACATTTAAATATTATTTATGTGTGAAATTTTCCCGGGTTAAAACTAGTATATATTAACACACAAACGCAACATGTTCACTACATCACGTACCTAGGCATATGCGCAAAGACTGGCCCTTGGTATGAAGTCATTTCATATGAACAGCTGCAAGGCTTCAAACAGCGTTTCTGTACTTCTTAATTATTCTTGCTGTTCAGGCTTTTTTACTGTTCTGCTTTGTGTTCGCTCATTCTTGTCAAAATTTCCCACCAGCGACTCGTCTTCATTTTTGTTTCAAATATACTAGTATGAAGCGTCCTTGAGATATTGTCGTCGCATGACATGGGAGTCTTGTCAACCAAAGAGCTGTGACAAATTCAGGAAGGGAGTGATCATGGCTATCCACACCTTCCTATACTTTGTAGTAGTTATGAATGCTTATCTTTTTTTACTATCTATCCCATTGCCCTGTTCTGTCACCCATTTACACAATCTTATTGGATAGTTTTCTCCCTGTTTCTGTCTGCCCCTCTTGTCTTTAACTTTGAATATCAAATTCTCCAAGACTGTCACTTTCTAAAAGTCTACTCATCCGACAGTAAGGCCTTTGATCGGCGGGGGGGGGAGGTTGAAGAGTGTGGAATCACCTCTTAAGTCCACCCCGACCAGGGTTGTAGCACCTGTTGTGGTCCCAATTATCGACACATAGTGAATCCTCAAACCGGGGCCAAAACACAATGAAAGTGTAGAAATACATTTTTATAGTGAAGGTTCCAGCAATACATTTTCATAGTAAAAAATTACCAGCAATACATTTACTTGAAAGCCCTTCAGCTCCGTCGTTACGACCTTCTTGATGGCCTCCGCGCCTTCAAAACGGGGTCTTCTTGATGATCATCTTGATCTTGGGGAAAAGAGAAAGTCGCACGAAGTAAGATCATATGATTAGGGGGTTGTTTCAGTACGGCGATGTGCTTCTCGACCAGGAACTGCCGGATGCTCAGGGCGTTGTGTGCATTGACGAGGTGAAGCAGACACGATTTGTCCTGACACAACACTCGCATGTGAAAAAAATGCAGAGGTTTCAGAAAGCTAAGATAGCAGTTATATACTCCCAAGATATCATGCTAGATGGTAACACAATCCGATTATCCGTCTTTTGCCGATAGTACACACAGCACACCCAGTCCCGTTACTTTTCAGACAGATCTCGTAGGAGGACTGATATTACATAGTCCAGCGTTCTTTTCTTTGTTTCTAACGAAATACTCCTGTTTTTTTTTTTGTTGTTTTTTTTTTAAATAAATATTTAGTTTTTGTAAAACATTTCCTAGATAGTTAAATTTCTGTAGTTGTTCGATTTTAACATCTCCATTTCGTAACACGAAATTTTGGTTGATTTTATTTCTAAACATCTTCTTACATTTGAGTGTTAGCCTTCTCTTGCTTTCTTTTATCAAAACTAATGTTTATTCAATATGAGACTCAAGAGCTACTCAAGGTTTAGGGTTAATGCGTGGCTAATGTTGTATGGGCGTAAGAAAAGGCAACTTTCTTAATGACGTGGTGTGGCTTCCCTCTTTCTTTTCTATAAATATTTTCATGGCAACTGCAAGTGAACTTTTTTTCCTAGTTTCCCGACTACATGGATATAAGCGTGTTACTAGATTGACATGTAGTCTCCACCCGCTTACTGTTGAAATAGCTAAATACAACCGCCACTTCTACTCCAACATTTTCTTTTTTCGTACTACCCGCCTGTGGAAAACCATTCCTTTTACATTCTTCCCTGCTAAATACAATCTTCAAAAATTGAAATTCAATGTCAATCGCCATCTTCTGTCTTCTTGAATCCCGTTCATCTTTTTGTCCTTTCCTCAATCCTCCCAATACTGGTATTTTCTCTCACTTTCACTCCCTGTAGACCCCAGCGCACGAGTGTCATTTCCACTTTGCTTGGGATGAAATGATTGTAAAAAAATAGTAGTGAAAATCTTGGAGTTATGCGAGAAAGATACTGGCTAACTCTAGACTTGAAAAAAATCAAGACTAAAAGGCGACAACCGTATATACTCGACTATCGTGCGAATTTTGATGATGAGTTCTTTACTAACAAAATAGGGGTTCGCACTATACACAGGTAATTCTTTTTTGAAAAGGTCAAAATCCATGCATTTTTCGTGTATGGTTACATTATACACAGGTATTTTTTTTTTATGGGGGCGTTAAAATTCATGCAAAAAAAAAAGTCATGAGTTGAACTATACAGAAAGTCGACTTATAAACGAGTATATACGGTAACTAAAATAAATAAAATAAAATAAATATTAGCCGTTAAACAACAGACTTATACAGAATATTACATATGTTGCTAGTATTGAGGTTTTAGATCACAAAAACTTTTTGTTGACTGAGTTAATTACAGTTTCAAAAGAAAAAAACATCCGTAAACGCGCAGAATGTGCTGGCCGTATTCGGAAAATAAAAAAGCGCATGGATATACAGAAAACAGAAAAATTAAATTAAAGGCTTAACAGCAGTACCTCGTCAGTCGTCTTTAACGATATATGTATAAAAGAGGGATTGCTGCCCAATAACACAATTATATATATATATATATATATATATATATATATATATATATATATATATATATATATACACGTTCTGAGAAAAATGCCAACGTAGTAACGTTAGTTGAAATAGCTGTTTTTTATGAGGTAATTTGGGATTTCTCTATTATGTAACTTATCTGCTCTGTTAAATACATTGAGCTCTTTTTGGGATCAGTTTTATTATTTTATATTATTAGGATTCACTTGGTTAATATAACAGAAAAATATGCTTTATTCGACAGGTCTCGAACCTGCGTTCCCCGAGAGGAAACCGTCATTAGATCTGACATGCTTCTATATCTCCAGTATTCCAGCTGTTGTTTTAATGCTATTATAGATTCCAATCTGTTTTTCACATCAGTGTAGTTTCATACATAGGCAGTTCAAGTGACAGCAAGTCTTCTCTGTATTCCAGGACACACCTTAGTATTCTAGGATATTTTGTGAATGCGACCATCTGGATAGTTATTGTATACAACAGGGATTTTCCACTCCTAAACTCTTCAGCACTCCGATGAACGATTCTTTCAAATTTCTGACTTGTCTGACGGAGCCGTGAAATGTCCAAACAGGTTATTTTTTCATCATTATTGTATCATCATCATCATCATCATCATCATCATCTGAAGAAGAAGAAGAAGAAGAAGAAGAAGAAGAAGAAGAAGAAGAAGAGTGGAAGGAGGAGGAAGAGGTAATAAATGAAAGAAAAGGCGACCAGGAATAAAGATTAATGCGATGGGAGCTTAGTGATAGAACTAGGCAAGAAAAAAAAAAAGAAAAGGCGCAGAAACACACACACACACACACACACAAACACAGATATATATATATATATATATATATATATATATATATATATATATATATATATATAATAAAAGAAAAACCAGACCTTCCTGAAAACTCAACGAATCAAAATATATTGTTCTACCCACCAACTCTACCACAACTACAATTGAAAAAAAAAATTACCTAGGCTTAATATAAAATTTGTTATATTCTATTCCTTGTAATAAAGGATCACATAGGAAAAACTTCAAAGAAATTGAATAAAAGATCATATTAAAACAAAACAGATCTTTTACAAAGCAATACACTAAATTGACCATCGTAAAGAGTCTGGCGATAATTTTGATATAGAGGTGCTACCCTAATTTTGTTTAGCGCCAAATCAACCGCTAGATGTCATTTACAGCCCAAATCTAAATATTTTGAACATAATTTTATGGCTTCAACTTAATATATTTTGAAGGAAATTGTATGCCTTCAACTACAGAAAATGCACCGTTGGTAATTATTTTTATATAAAAATGTATTTCTTGTATTTTATATTTTCATAGTGACTTTATTTTTGTTTTGTGGTTCATTATTTGCCCATAGTTTGGGCCCTAATAGGTGCTATCACCCCAGGTCAGGGCGAACCTGTGTACAACAGCAATTAAGAGGTGGTACCACGCTCCTCATACCCAGGACAATATATATATATGTGTGTGTGTGTAGTTGATTCTTTCGTCGTATTCGACGTATGAGGGTCAAGCAGCTTAGTTCCTAGGAACCGACAGTCCAGACACCATGATTTGATTATAGTATTGAGGACTTTATGCAGAACCAACCACAGTTTTAAATATATATATATATATATATATATATATATATATATATATATATATATATATATATATATATATATATATATATCTGTGTGTGTGTGTGTGTGTGTTATCCTTACTAATAGCATGACTGTGAGTTTCGTAACAAAACAGTCTGAGTATAGACTGGCCGTTACATTAATTTTCAGACTCTTTAGAACTGACGGTGTAATTCTCTCTTGTAAAAAAATCAGCCCACTAAATATAGATCAATTGAAGAAAGGAACTGATCAAATTTTTTAAAGATCACGAATTAAATATTACCATTACTAGCGATGCTAATGTTGGATCAACTTTCTCAATGTGACCTTTTTAATTGAATAACGATTATTACAATCCATATACCAAAATCAGCTATATATCCATAGCTACGTCAGTGAAAAATCAAACCACCTCCATAAAAAGTCTTGATAATTTATATAAAATCAGTCCAAGTTAAATTATCTACCAACAATAAGGAAATATTTGATAATAATAAAATTAGATATATAAAGGCTTTAGGACTACGCACTCACAAAGAAGCTAAAAAATAAACAGAAACACCGTCACCGTAAGATTATATGGTTCAATCCACTCTTTAATCTTAATTTTCAAACTCATATCTGAAGAATTTTCCTAAATTTAATCCATAAGGATTTTAACCATTCATCAATGCTAAAAGAGATTTTTAACAAAAATAATGTTAAGATCAGCTATAGCTGCGTTAATATAGACAAATACATATCACAACATAGTAACTTTATATTAAACAAATATATTTCCAACAAAGACAACGTAAATATTTGGCAAAGCAAATGCAACTGCCGAAAAATATGATCTGTCCCTAAAAATGGTCAATGTATGACGAATAATATTGTATACCGAGCGAGCATATATTCCGGTAACGATGTTAAATTTGATTTTCGTTCCACTGTAAATCCTTGGAAATATTGTTTCTACCATAATCAAATGATTTTAAGTAATATAAAATACAAAAACAGTACTGATCCATCCAAATATTTCTGGCAATTAAAGAATGATGGCAACTCACCCTCCTTCAACTGGGATATTATAACAAGCGCCAAGTAAATGTAAATTATGTCTTGTTTGAAACACATAACTCTACCTTATTAAAAAGAGAAATGAAATGATGGTTACATGCAGGCCTAAAAATAAATATCTGCTTAAATACGTTGATCCACATTAATTTTTAATATAGTTTATTTTTTTACGTAAATTGCGGTTTTTCTTTTTTTATTCACAACTCTAAAATAAAAAAAATATCCTTAATTTTTTTTTTTGCCTTACATATATATATATATATATATTTTAAATGGAAAATATTTTTTAAAGTTAAAACACTATATATATATATATATATATATATATATATATATATATATATATATATATATATATTAAATGGAAAATATATTAAAAAAATAAAACAATATATATATATATATATAACCAAATGAATGACTGCAATTCATTTTTTCTAGTTTATGCTAGAAACATTCTTTTTCTGTATATGTGATTTTTTTTTTCTTTCGGCATCTAACCGTGTGTGCATTGTAGTGCATCTACGCTTGCGTGTATTTCAGTGCATGTACCCGTCTGTGCATCTCAGCTAGAACGGACAACCTTATCCTCTCGTTGATGTTTTACGTGCTTGACATAAATCTTTTCAAAAACTCCCCATCTTGTCTGTGTTCTTTTTACTTGGGGAATACGCGCATATCTCATATCTGTGCGTAGTGTTACCACTGAGCAATCAGACCTAAAAGATATTTGATGGTTTTGCAAAATGATCGCTTCTTTTCGTTGCTAGATGTCATTATAGGGAGAAGGTGCGGTGATTGATCAAAAATTTCAAAATTGGTGATTTCTTCAGGCTTGCGATCAGTGTGTCATATCAGTTCCACTACCTTTCCCTTCTCCCTTTCCTAAAATGCGGAATATCAGTGTATGCACAATAATTTAGATATAACTAAAATATATAAAGGATATTTTCTATTAATTAATCCGAAAATATTAATTCACCCAAAATAAAAGGAATTTATATTTACTAAAATTCAAACCAAATTCTCCCAGAACGAGACACATTCCATTGCACTCGGGTTCGATTGACCTTTATGATCGTTCCAAAAAAAAATTTCAAAAAAAAACTGCGATCACGCTCATCTCGATAAACAAGCCAAAAATATATTTTTTTTTTTTTTAAATTGTAAAAACTTTCTTTTAAGTACCTCGAATAACATCAGCACTTACGAAATGAAAATAATTGCCTGATTTTTAGTATTTTTTCATTTTGAGGGTTGAAGTTGATGCGAGGCAAGCTAAACAATTTTTGATTTAAAATTTATAATTTCAAAAGTGTGCTAAAATTTAGCACACTTAATAAAAAATACATAAAAAAAATTGATTTAAAATTCACCATTTCAAAAATTTGCTAAAATTTAGAAAAAAAAAACTGAGTTAAAATTTATAATTTCTTGGGGTGAATTAATATTAGCGATAAGTAACTTTACATTATTTGGAGTGAATTAACTGAAAAGATCTTATGTATGCAAAAATGCAATATCAATAAAAGCAAAAGGAAAAATTATATTAGCTGATGCACTTCGTCAAGGCAAATGAAGGACTTTATAAAAAGTTCATCAGAATACAAAGCGTGTCGGCTAAGATGAGCTTTCCTTTTGTCTTTATACATATATATATATATAGGGAAAATCGATATGTTAGATAAGCAAGTTGTCTCCTGAATCACAGAACAATTACGACTGAGTAGTAAGTTCGATCCTCACTGTTCCCCCCTACTTTTGGCCTTGGCATTTTACATCCAAGCTACGCTTGGAAAATCACTATATATATATATATATATATATATATATATATATATATATATAATAGATATATATAGATAGATAGATAGATAGATAGATATAATAAAATACATGAAAATTCTAACATATATATATGCAAAATATATAAATATATATACATATGATGCATACACATACATGTATATTTTTTTAATAAAAATTCCAAGAGGATAGAATCAGGTAGAACTCAATGTCCAGAACAGAAAAAAAATATAATAAAAGTTTTTGACTAATATTCCATGGTCATAATTTATTCCATTCATAATGACCATGGAATATTAGTGTTTTAAGTTTTAGATATATATATATATATATATATATATATATATATATATATATATTTTATATTAGTGGTAAATATACAAATACAAAAATTTGTA